CAATAGCCGTCAATCCTAATCCCTGAGCATCCTAGGTAGTATGAAGGAGACCCCTTAAAGGGGACCCTTCTCCAAGGGACCTTGTTAAGAGGGTCTGCATCCCAAAACCCTCCCCTAATCCTAACTTCTAACGCGGTAACCCATAAACCCTGGACCGTAAACCCTGCCTGTACCTTAAATAACCTACAGTTTTCAGGACATACTTTCGATGATATAATATTGCCGATTGCAGTACCTGAAGGACCCTAAACTATGGGAATTATGGAATATTCCTCATTATGGGTAATGTAGGATTTGAGGAAGTCATAACAAGAAGCCCTAAACGGGTAGCTTCTGTAGGGTCCACCCTAAACCCTAAACCCTAAAACCTAAGCCCTGAAACCCTAAACCCTAAAGCCTTTAAGCCCTAAGCATTAAGGTTTAGGGTTTAGGAACATAGGGGCCGAAGTAATTACCGACAACATTCTGGGTTCCTGACTATAATTGCAGTATGATGTAGTATACCCCCCAAAACCCTAGACTAACCAGCAAGACTGAGACAGGTGAAGGTTTGGGCTTGCGGGGCTACCCAGAGATGTACCGTAGCACCTTTTCCGCGCGACCTTTGTTTCTGAGTATGGAATCCTAACCCTAAACCCAAAACCCTAAACCCCAAGCCCTAAACCATCTAAACCTATTATAGGTTATCTTAAATCCAGTCCTAAGCCTTGAATACGCCACCACAGCTGACGCATGCATTGCCTTGCTCCTCAGGGCCCAGATTCTGTTTCCATCCTGAAGCACGTGCAGTGGTGTGCCCGTTGCAGGGGTTGTATGTAGGTATTGAGGTTTGTTCGGGGATAGGGTTGATATGAATTTTTTCCTACATGAATGTACAGGGGTGCGTATAGGTAAAACAGAAAACCCGGCCGTGTTCGTGTACATTTCGGTCATAAACAACCCGGAACCCCCTAAACCGAAAAGGCCAGGAATCCTAAACGCTGAAAACCCAACAACCCCCTAAACCGAAAAGGCCATGAATCCTAAACGCTGAAAACCCAACTTACCCAGAGACTCCAAAACCCCTTAATTGAGGAATAGACCTTAAAGTTGTAGTAGGAGCCACAATAAGATTTAAGGTATATTCCTTAATTAAGGGGTTTTTGGAGTCTCTGGGAACCCTAAACCCCAGCTTACATCATGTCCCTTGGAGGTCGGGCGCACAGCTAGCGGCGGACTCAGACATGTCTTCTGTGCTTGCGGGTTCGGGGCTTAGGGTTTCCGCATTTATTGTTTAGTGTTTAGGGCTCCTTTATTTTGCCTACTGCAATTATCCCTAAGGGTCCAAGTACTCATTATTTAAGGACTTTGGGGCCTTTATGGGGTACCACAAGCCATGAATAAGGACTACTTGGACCCGTAGGGTATGGGTTCTGCCCTTGAATTATAAGGGGCCATAGCTGACGCAAAACCGGCCAATGATTTTTGTGCGCGGGCTGGGCTCCTCAGTAAAGGACTGTTTGTAGCCCCAGTGGGGCTACCCATAGGCCCCTAAGTAGTTCCTTTTTGGGCTTTCCTTGTAAATATAAGCCATAGAAAGGAACTACTTTTCGGCGTATGGGTACAGCCATTCCTTTCTTGAGGAGCCCAGAAACCACGTAAACAATCTTGGCAAGCCCTCTCAAAGGTCGAAGCCACTACCTCGGAACGTGGTTTTGTGGGTCGCTCTCTAAACTAGGGCCCCCCGCAGCGTGCTTTCTCATAAGGGTGCCATACTATGTTGGGGGACCTAATTTAAAAAGGGACCCAATGTACAGAACTACCCATATATCAAACATGTTATTCTAATCATTAAGCCCACGGCATATTACCAGGGACACCCTATTAATTAGACAGACTATACTGTCGTATCGCACTGCAAACTGTCAGGACTCTTTTGAAGTCTCTGCTGGTTGATGGGAGCCAATATTTGCGAACAGTTGCGTCGAAAGTCCTCTGGCCTTGTAAATCCCAATCCCTAAAAAGACTAAAGAATGCTAAACCCCGGAACCATTTCCAACCCATGTGATAGAAGCCTTGAACAAACCTTGGTGAAGCCTTTCGAAAGGCCCTTAGAGCTGTAGAGCCCTATACCCCATGATAGAGACCTTTATTTGGACCCTTTATACCCTATAAACCCTATAAACCCTAAACCCAATACCATAGTGTATAAGGCTTTTTTAGGCTGTTTTGAGCCTTAGGGTACACCCTTTATACAGCCTTAGGGTACACCCTTTATACCCCTAAACCCTAAACTATAAACCCTAAAACAAAGCAAAAAAGGGGTACACCCTTTATGCTCGAAGCCCTTGCCAACCCGGAGTCCCAGGTAGGAGTAGGGAGACCCCTTAGAGGGGACCCTTCTGAACCCTACCTACGGCTCTCTTGAAAAGGGACCTTATTCAGAGGGTTTTTATCCCCAAGGGTCCCCCTAATCCAAACCCCCACGGAGGCGCTGCGCCCAATGGAAGGGCAACGACATCCTCGTCCCTCTATACGGCCGAGACGGTGCCTTGTCCGCCACATGGGGCTTCCAGGGTTTAGGGTTTAGGTTTAGGGTTTAGGGTTTAGGTTGGGACTTTCCGAACATAAGGGGTACCCTCTTTTGGGGGTCCTTAGAATAAGGATCCTACTATTTAGGGTACTATCTTAGGGTCCCCCTATTTTCGGAACCTCCCCATATACTCATGAAGTACATACTTATGCCTTAAAGGGGTTGATACTTTAGGCTTATACGTATTTGCATACTATACTTGGAGGTTCATGGGTAGTTATAAGTGGGGTTATAAGTAGGATAACTATAATGATAACCTATATTTAAGAGACTTATGACTCCTCTTATAACTACCCCTAAACCCTAAAAGCCCTACAGAACCCTTTAAAGGGAGCCCTTAAATAGGAACCCCATAACCCCTGCTTATAACTACCCATGAACCTCCAAGTGTGGGCACCAGCAGCCCTAGGGATCGGTCCAGTAGTTCATGCGGGCATTTCTTGTTTGCTGTTTACCGGTTCTACTGCCTTTTCCCAAAGGCTCCATGTACCTTCATAGTACATACTTAGGCCTTAAAGTGCCTATATAGGGACGCCTTTAAGGCCCAAGTAGCAACTATAAAGGTACATGGAGTCTTTGGGTTTAGTTCCCGAAATGGTGTGGTAACACGAGAGAGGCCCTTTAGAAGCCGCGCGATGCGACTGCCGAAAGGCTATACGACGTCACTTCTCGGCTTCAAGAGCCTTGAGGGGAAGGATGAATAGGGTGGCCTTCTGGATCCTGCTTGTCACATTGTCTCTTCGTGCTTCTTCGTGGTCGAGTCCTATAACGGGAAGTACGCGGACTCTTGGGGCTACGTTTTGGGCTTGTACATGTTTCAGATTTTCGGATACATCAAGGTTTAGTCGGTTGAGGTTTCGAGGGTGTAGCTCAAGAGCGAAGAATCTGCCCTAAACCTTAAACCCTAAAACTAGGGTTTAGGGTTTAGGGTTTAGGGCTTAGGGGTTTAGTGCCCTAAACCCTAAACCCTTAAACTTGTAGCTGAATGCAAGGCACCATCGGGCCATGGGCGACCGTTCCAAAAATACGGGGCTTGGGGGGTCTCGGGCCGCTCGAAGCCCTGAGCCTCTGTAGCAAGCCTTATAGCTTTATAGTCGCCTTTAGGATTTAGGGTTTAGGGTTTGGGGGTTTTGTAGGGTTTAGGGTTTAGGGGTTTTGTAGGGTGTAGGGTTTAGGGCTTAGGGCTGAGGGTTTAGGCTTTAGGATTTAGGGCTTTGTAGGGTGTGGGGTTTAGGGTTTAGGGGTTCATAGGGTTTAGGGTTTATAGGGTTTAGGGTTTTTTAGGGGTTTATAGGGGTTCATAGGGGTTTAGGGGTTTATAGGGGTTTAGGGTTTATAGGGGTTTATAGGGGTTTAGGGGGTTTAGGGTTTAGGGGGTTTAGGGTTTAGGGTTTAGCCCTTTGTGAGTTTCTGGAGGTTCACATCACGCTCCGGGGACTCGAAGCAGCTTCCTTCTACGATGCCCGATGCCAAGTCTTGGCTACGCGATATTTGGATTCCTACGGTGGTCCGTATTCTGTGAGTAGACTGAGTCTTCTAGCAAGGTACACTTCCGTCCTAGATCGTTATCTTGGCTCAGGGCAGAAACTGAGCATGTAGGGCCGATGGTTGGCGATAGTTGAGGGGTGTGTCGACCGTAGGCCGTAGGTGCTTGCTCTGTGTGGCTAGACAGCAACTTAATTCCAAAGCGCTGCTATTACATCCCACGTCTGCCACAACCTGAGCCACCAAACTGGGTCAACAAAGCTTTTGTGCGATTTGCAGCAAACTGCAATATTTCCGGCCTGCACCGGAGAGTCGACGTAGAGAAAGAGACGGCTTTTCTTTGCAGGCGTCATCTCGACAATTTCATAACTCCTTTCTCCCAGGTGCGGTTGGCGCTCTCCGAGGGACGGCGAAGCTCACCTCAGAGGCGCTCTGCGGTTTTCGAAGCTTCGATGTTCGGAGCCCGAAGTCCAAAAAGTGCCTGCGGGACCAAGGAGTACATTTCTACGAGTTAAAACACGCGTAGTGCAAAAAAAAGTATATGCTCTAGGACTGCTTTTGGAGCACTTGGACCTTCAAAACATCATTCAGGTTTCAAACCCTCGCTGTCGCGCCGCCTCTGAAAGATGCCCCGCGCCTGCAGTGCGCCAGGCCTGGGCACTTCAGGGGACTTCCCAGCAAGATGGCAAAGCTGCACAGACTCGCATGTACCCTCGATTGGGCATGGCCATGCGAGTCAATTCTGCTTAGATTCATCATTTGTTCATTATGCAGCGGACGTACTGCAAGTTGCTGTCACCGTCTTGGCGATGCTGCGGTGTCTTTGTGCCTTGATGCTACACTCCCAAACAACGAACCCTGACAAGCGCTTCTGAAGCCCTAAAAAGGTTTCGAACCCCTTTCATCCGAAACCGAGACGCTAAGACCAGAGCCCACTGCAGAGGTACGATCGCCTGTTACTGAAATGGGCCAGCCCCACTGCCCAGCAGGACGAGGCACGGGCTTGAAAGCAGGCGTCTGCTTGGACCCAGCTTCAACAGACTCAGCAACCAGAGCGTACAATCCTAGCCCCGCTGCTGTGCCAGGATTGAAGTGGTACAGCTAAGCAGATACGCGTGCAGGTATAAAGACAAAGAAGTATGAATCTGAAGATTCATGAAAATGCCGTACCTCAGCAAGAGTCTGAGGCAAAATCGAAACAGACACTTTGTTCATGATGCCAGACAGATTAGAGCTTCTCAAACAGGAGGGTGTCGGACACACTGCAGGTACTGGGCTATGTCGTGCGCTACTACGATACAGAGCCACGCTGGCCCGTGAAGAACGAGAAGGAGGACTGAACCTGCGTTACTCAAAACAAGGTTCAGAGTAGGAATACCAGTGTAGGTACAGGCCCCCAGATAGATTTAATGTAGGTGCCGGTGATAGCAGCTCTGACAGCACTCCAGTCCGCCTTTTGGAGCCAGGCACAAGCAATGCCAAGGAGCATTGCTGAACCTATAAACCCACAGACTCAATAGGCCTCAGAGGCCCAATAGGTGCACCTTCCTATACACTGATACTGGAACATAACGTATCAGAAAGAAAGTGTAGTATCAAAGCGGCAGGTGAAGCTGGCCTCCAGACTTCTGAAGCCCAGCGAGCAGACGGCACAGTTCCTGGAAGGCGGGAGACCTTCGCGCACTGCTTCTGAGCCACTAGAAGGGCCCTAGGGCCCTAGGACTCAGACTTACCGTTGTTTGCATGCTCCCCACATGCACTGGTGGGACAAGGAAGCGCTGCCATGTCTGTCGCCAAGACCGACGGCGAGACGGGAGGTGGGCCGCTCAGCACCTGGGTTGCCCTGTTCGTCCCTGTCACACGGAAATCCTCTGAATTTGTATCCCTGTTTCTGATGAGTACTGTTGGGACTCTTTCGAAACCCGAAGTCACCAGTCCAACGAACGGCGCATCAACCATGTGAACCGTGTTGCCGCCATGCGTGGTTGGTAGGCAGTCCAGAACCTGCCCAACGAGCCTTGGATCGCATTTTCTGCAACGCAAAACAGCGCACATCTCGCTTCAACAAGTGTTCAGTGGGCACTTCCGAGCACCCAGAAAACTCGGCGTCTAGTCACTGCAGCATCGGCAGAGAACCACGGACCTATCCCTTCTGTGGCGCTGTTCGGCCACTTCCAACGAATCCTCCACTCGTATCCAGCACGGTTTCAATACTCTGAGGAAGCGGTGATGAAGTTGAGAGGGAGGCCGGGGGAAGACTGTCAAACGGTTGATGATATAAATCCTGCAGTACCCTAAGGACACTAAACTAGGGGAATTATGGTATATTTCTTATTATGGGTAATGCTGGATTCATATCATCAACCTCATGAGGGTGTCTCTAACAGTCTTTACAGGCCTTTACAATGACTTTACTTGGGGGGACGGGGTACTTTCTCTAGGGTCTTTGGAAGGGTTTCTTTCAGATGCACCAGATGAAGTTAGGCTTACATTGGCAGAGACCCTGGAAGTGAAGCCGTGAAGGCAGAGAGGAGCTTCAACATGCAACTCATCATGTCTACTACCGAAGTGGATGTCGTGTGGCCCGGAGCGGAAGCGAATTGAGGTGCATTACTGGCTGACGGGCCTATCTGCTTCGCGCATGTATCTCGTCCAGGCGTGGGTTATCACAGTTGTGCGCCTTTCGGCCCTTCATGTACAGTGAGAAGAGTTGAAATTGTCCTCAGAAACGCTAGGATGTCAGTAGAAGCATTGCAATTTTGGGCAGCAAGCTCGCTTACCTGCAGGTCGCGGCAAAGACTGCCTGTGGTCAAGGTGCCCTCATCAAGCTGAGCAGTTGCTGCGGCAGAATGCTTGTGGCGTGTCAGGGGACAGAGGAGGGTTGAAGACTGTTTTTGTTTGAAAGCCTGTAACTTCTTGCCCGTGCCTTCAACAGGGGCATTTTTCGCCATTTCATTTCCTCCAGTCAAAGAAACAGGCTGTCTCCTCCCCATCCTTTTTGCAGGCGAGTGGTCCCCGAAGAGCGTCCCACTCTTCACTTGGCGGAAGGCCCCACAGGCTGGGACGTCCTAGAGCTACTGCTAAGTCTGTAGAAGGGCGAGCTGCTCCAAAACCCCCGCAAGCCGGCATAGATTCTCAAAAGCAGGGGCCTTGACCCTAGGTATTAAGAATAAGTGCTCCACCCAAATGTCACTCCTACGGCAAGGTCGCCATGCCGCAGCTCTTGGCCGGTAGCCACGCCTCCTTGGTCTTCGGTCTCACGCCACTCGGAGTTTCGGAAACTTACAGGAGTATCGGGGTGCCGAGACTGCTGTGAGGGTTGTCTCGGGTTTGTACTTGTGTCGGCCATCAATGCTTGGAAGTTTCAGAAAAAGTTGTTTCCGTTGGTGCACACCTGAAGTCTGGCGACAACTTGTGTCGGTTCGTCTCGGAGTGTCCTTGGGCTTGGGCGCTCTCTGGCATCGGCTTGTTTGCGGCTTGCTACGGAGCCAGCTTTTTGGGTTGCCCTCGCAGCACTGAGGTTCCAGAGCCCAGAGGACCCAACCAAAGGACGGCTTCTATTTTTAGCGGTTCTTGCTGGTGCGGGCTGGCAAGGGCAGGCTTCTGACTGGCGACTCTGCAATGTGACACCTTTGAAAAGCAAAGGGACTGCGCCAATCACCGAGTCCAAGAGCACACTGCAACCTCCAGGACAGGACGAGGAGGTCGAACGCTTTGAGCTCACGCCACTCGGCTTTAGTACGCATGTCCTGCAAGCATACCTCGGAGTTCAGGATGGAACCCTCTACATCCTAAGCCTTAGCCCATCTTAGCCCCAAACTCCCAAATCCGACTCGCAATGTCCAAGACATTCTAGGTTCCCCAGCAGCGCCCTCTTGCCCTTTTTCTTCTTGGGTTCCCTTACTAGAACCAAGGAGTAGGAAAAAGGGTACCCTTATTTTTAAGGGGGCTACTGGGCAACCTAAAGCATTCCTCCGTGAAGTCATGCGAACGAGAGGCTGCAACCGCTGCAGCGCGGTGCGGAGACGCGGCACCTGGAGGCCCAGAGATTCCAGACTTCGAGATTTCGTTTTTGGGATCGCTCTTCGAGCTGTCAGGATGGTCCACAAGATTGCCTCATGCAAGATAACTTGCCATGAAAGTTTCCAGAACTCATCTAAAAGGCCACGGTCTTCGTGCTGGACGGCTTAAGTACCGTACAGGAGCCTTAAATGTCAGTGTCATGTTCTTCCTGCATTGACCAGACTCTCATCGTCGCTACTCGTTAGTCGGTTCGGTTCTCGAGCACACATCAGATGGCTTTGCATTCGCAGCTATCCGCAAAGTGGAGTCAACGAGGATCCTGAATCCGGCAGCCTCAAATCCACCCCAAGCTCCGAACAAGCTGAAAGCCTGACCTAAAAGGGCCTATCATGCCCACAATGTCTGAAGCACCAAACTTTAAACCCCAGGCTCACCCCGAGTTCGAATACCCTAAACTCCACATCCGAATCGCTAAATCCTAGACACCCTAAACTCAACAGCCTCGGAAGTCCGAAGCTTGCACCAGATCACGTGCGCGGCAGCCGCGCAGTTGGCCGCAGAGGTGAAGCCGAGGCCTTCCGTTTAACAGGGAGCTGTGCAGAGCCTCAGTTCTGCATGAGGTATGCACACCACAAAATCGCTTTCGTAAGCATCCTGCTGCAAAGAATCATCAGCAGCACGCGCACAGATGCTCGTGTATTTCTACCGCATGATGTACTTAGTTGTCCTTCCACTGCCCACTGCTTTGTTGCCTTAGGTGTTTGTACAAACTGGGCTTGTGACCCTTCGTTGAATGTTTACAGCTTTAGTGGGCTTTCACGGCATACATTTCTTGCTTTTCAGAGGTTCTGTTGTTCAGCGAGTGCTCCCGGAGTTCACGTGCTGTTTAGGGCATTCCCTGGTGGAGAAGACCTTGGATCCCGGAGCTTGTAGGTCTTTGAAGGAATGCTGTGTCCTCAATTTTTGGTCAAGCTGTGTCAGAAGTCTATTGGACCCCATGCCTAGTAGGGATGATTCTGAGAAGTCGGAAGCCAAGCTTGCAAAGCACCGTACAACAAGTGGGACTTGACAGAGTGGAAGTTGAGTTTGTAGGAAGACCACAAAAAAGCTCACGAGGCTCTCGAGCATGCTCGGGCTTTCGGAGGAGGCGTTCCCCTCCCACGTGCCCTGGCCTTGAGGTGATTTGAGACCTTCTTGGGAGATTCCGTCTGAGTTGCTTCCATCTTCTCATCCAACTCAAGTCACTGGCTTCAGCTACATCTTTCAAATCCTCTAAAATGAGCGTGAAGCTGAAGCCGGAAGCACTGGGCTCTGCTGTTCAGGTTGTTGTGGCGAGCCAGCTGCAAGATCGGAGTGCTTACTCCTGCTCCATGGCGTCGGTTGAGATTTCCTAGGCGGACCCCAGAATCGAAGCGTCGAGACCGATTCTGAAATTGGAGGATCCCTGAACCTTGTCGGCATACTACAAACCCCTCCATAGTCCCCGAGGATCCCCCTAAGACACTTTAACAGCGAAGAGCAAGGGCTTCTGTGGTGAAATCCAGGCACGGCCATGGCCATCACACCAGCCGGCAATGGCCAGTCATCGCAGGCAACGGGACTTCTCCCAAAACCCTAAACCCTATAAACCCTACACCCTAAACCCTATAAACCCTAAGTCTCTCAGTGGATTGCTACTACGTAGACTTTGGGTCTTAGGCTCGGGGCCAGGTTCGCAATTTTTGGTTTACAAGTCTACGGCTGGAGAGAGCAAGGAAGGGTCGGAGCTTCGAGACTTCGACACTTCTATTAGCGCGCACCTGAGACGTGTTTTTTTTCGAAGGGAAGAAGGAACTTAGCACAACGTCGCAGAAGTCATATTCCGCACCTTCAGCTGCTTCCAGGCGCTGCGGGCAGAAACCTTGCCTGTGCCTCCGCCGATTACTGGCCTGTGTGCTGCCCGACCAGCAGAGAAATCCGTTCGCTTTGAGGGGGCGTGGGCTCAGTCACTAAAGTCACTGCCAATGCATCGCTCCTGCCATAGGAGAACTTTTCGGGTGGCGACCCACCGACCCTCTAAAACCTGGCAAGTCAGGCCTCAAAAAATTGAGGCCCATGTATCATGCTTCGGTGGAAATGCGAGAAGCACAAAGAAAGCACCTACACACCCAGCCCTGAAAGCTTACGGCCGAGGTTGAGACAGCGGACCACCGGTCTGCCACCATTTCATGGCGGATCTCTCCGAGTCCGGGGTCCAAGACAAGAGGGACCTTACTCCGTTGGGGGGGGTTCCCTTTGTGGCTTGGTCTCAGAGTTTGGGGCTTCGAGAGTTGAACGAAAGGCCAGACGATCGTGAACCTATCACGTGTCAAGTTTCAGGGATCAGAAATGTTTGGGCTGATCAGTGCGGATACCTTTTGCAATCTGGAGTGGCTGGGAGGTTGTAACTAGGGAATGGCAGATCTCCCAAGCTTTGTCAGAAAGTCCGACACATTTCGGACGCTTAGTCACCGAAGGGCCAGGAAAGGCAAGAAACGAACAAGACCCCTGGTTGCAGTTCTTAGGTGCGGATCTCGAACGCACGGAGCTTTGTCTCGGCGAAGATGCGGAGGACGAGCGAGGCCAGCGGCGACTGCGAGGCCAGCGCGCAAGCCTTTGTACAGCGATTCTGAAAATTGAAGAGTTCAGCCGCGCAGCTGATGTGGGAGTGGTGGGAGTGGCAGTGAATGCCGCATCATGTTGGCCAAAAACAAGGAATAGAAGCAGACATTCGAGCATCAGCCGCTAGGAGGGGCCCTTTGTTGCAGAAGTTTTGTAGAGCTGCCTTGGCAATGCCAGTGCCAGGCTTCCGCGTGCGCTTGAGCTACGAACCGGAGCTGCGAACCACAGGCGACGGCATTCTTTCGTGGTGTGCGTCTCGGGGGGCTGGGCAACCTGCCCGACTAATATGGTAGCCGGAGATCCGACCATCGCCCCGGTGCAGAACTTTGAGCACGCCTCTGCTAGGAGGCGGCATTCGGGCGCAGCCTGCCTGGACCGAAAGCATCGGCGTCCGAGCCTCCGCTGCTGAGCGGCTCGGAACCGAGCCAGGCACTCACTGAAAATGCTGTCAAGAGGTGCTCAGATATTCTTCGGATGGAGGTGAGGGGCCTCTTGAGGACCTCGGCAGTGTCAGTGTGTGAGTAAATCGGTGTACGACGGTGTCTGAGAGGTCGAAAGTCTGCTGAAGTTCAGCTTCGAGTTATGGTTGGGCTCGCAGCCTTTGACAGTATTGTCACTTTAAGTGTTCAGCATATGGGGCGAAGCCCGGCAACAGCTTTCGTCTTTCGGGGTGACGAAAAACCGTGTTGTTTTGATGTCCTTAGTGGTTCCACACATGAACTGTGCATCATCATGGCGTGTAAACCAATCCCTCATCGGGTAAGCCTTGCCCTCCACGGCCAGACCTCAAGTACGCCCTGCAGGCCTTTTCCGCTACAAGCTTCGAGACCTCAAGTCCTGCAGCACTTGTTTGGTGCAGGTGGGACTGTCAAAAGCAATGCCTTACAAAGGTGATTCCGTGGCACACAAGTTTCTCTGCAGTTCCTCAGCTGGTGTTCCTCCTTGGCACATTTGTTTTTTGTTGCTTCCGGTTGCAGGTGATGGCAGTGGCTCACGGAGAAGGTTCCCCGGCGCGACATTCTTCTTTGGGGTTCGGGTTGTTGGGCTGAAGCCAGGTGCTTTAAGCGGACGTGTGGACTGAGGACTGAGGGTGGCCGTAGAGAGATGTGTCCTATCACGACAACGTCCACCTCATTGGGTGCTTCGACCCCTCCCATAGTTCACAAAGCACATCCTTGTTCTGCACAACTGATGCAGAGCCCTAAACCCTAAAGGTGTAGTTGTTGATATCCGAGCGGCTAGCCCAATTCCCGTTAAGTATGCGGCGGCTGTACAAGTAGCAAGCGGAATGGATCGCTCGGTATTCAGTGAGTTTGTGGATGCTAGCATGGTCTAGTTTAAGATTCGGGCCGCCATAGTTGGAAAGTATGACGACAAACAGATACAAAACTGCTTGTGAGGGGTCTAGTTTAGTTAAGTTTGAAGCTGAGGTGACGGTGATTGGTCGGAAGCTGCACAAATCTGCACGGAAGCCCTGGCGCCTGAAGTTCGAGGCGTTTGAGTTCCTTTGTGATAGAGTCCCTATGGTAGCTTGGCGATGAATACCCGAATAATCCTTTAGATTAACCTTAGATGTTTGCGTTAGCAGCTGCAGGATATGACAGAGCCAGTTCAGAAATCCAGTCGACCGGCTGAGTTGAGTCTGCTTTATGCCTCGCCATAGTATGGGAGTTTGCAGCTTGGAGGCACCCCGGTGAACGAGCAGATTCTGCGGCAGAGTGCCTCGCTGAAATGGGTGACGCCCAAAGAAATTCAAGGCTGGCCGGGGCTGTGGGGCTGGTGCGTGCAATTCCTGGGTTCTTGTGAAGCGATTTCATTTGAGTTACCATGATGGGGATCTATAGTAAACAAGATGGCTTCTTTACTATGATAACTTAACGTAAAACACTTAACTATATTGTAAATAATATGGTTTCTTTATTACGGTAACTTAAATGAAATCCCCTAAACAAGAACTCAGATTCGCCCCCCAGGGAAGCCCCAAACTCGATGACTCCATCGGTCCATGGCTGTGCAGGCGCCCCCGTCTCTGGATACAAAGTGCACCTGACCAAGGCCGGCACTCGACAAAACGTCTGGGAAAGGTAGGGTTCAGCCAGGGAGGGGAGCCCTGTAGTGGACTTATCATGCTCCCTATAACCCACTGAGCAGACCTCCTTACTTAGTCAGATTGCCCCCAGGCAGCCTGCGGCAGCCTGTTCAAAACCCTCGTCTCCTTAAACAGTTCCCGATGGGCGAACCTTTCATGCAAGCTTCCTTTATGGCTTCCTTTAGGGGTAAGGGTTGCTTTGAGATTTCCTTCTTTCTCACCACTTTCTCCCTGGAGACTCGAGAGCGTGGCCGCGGCGCCACTCGGGAGTTCGAGTTGCAGCTGCCTCTCGGATTCTCTCTGTCACCTCAGGTAAGATTTTAATTTTAATTGGGGTTCTAGGGTTTCGGGCTTAGGGGTGTCGGGATTTTGAAAAGTCCCATTGTGGCTTCTTGGGTGAACATGGAGTTTCACGGGGTTGCGAAACACTGAAAATGGCCCTGAGAGCTCCCGTCGAAGCTCAGGGACTTCAGTGTTGAGGCGGTGGACGAATCTCTGTCAACGTTCGTGTCATTCCTGTCATAAGCTTGTTGCTACTTGCTTTGTCTCTGTTGTTATTCGGTTATGACTAACGACTGCACGTCTGATTAGTTGATATTCTGTGGCCCCAAGGCAGGGAGCCACGAGCACGCTCGCCGCAGCGAGCTCGCCGAGCGCATCGGTCGAGGTGGGGTTCGCTAAATTCCTGGATCCCTGCTCAGGGAAATGGGCGGGGAATAGAGGGACGCTGAGGGTGCTGCGAGATGCGTTTTGTTCTGGAAGTTGGGCCGTGCGGTCGGAGCTTGTTCCTGAAACCCTCTTACGTGGTCTAGGTTCAGAGCCACGTCGTCTTTAATCTTTGGGTGCGGAGATTTGGCAGAATGCTGAAGAAACTTGTGAGATCCCTTCAGCCCTTCGCGTGGTCACAGTAGCTAACTTCATGTCCCAAGCTGAGGTGCCGGAGCAGCTCGGAATCTTGGCATGAGTAATATATGAAGGTCGGTAGAACTACAGAATCGCCTTGTAGGCACTGCATATTTCTGCGATGAAATACCCCAAAGCCCTGTTCTACTCATGAAGGTCCCAATATGATCACCAACCAGAGTTGAGGGTCACAGAAGTACATATTGACATATGCCTGCCTCCTAAGCATGAAAGAAACCCTACACAAACCTCAGAAGCAGTTCTGCTCGGCCGGAGTTATACGAGGCGGTATTGAAAACTCCGGACATAACTAAAACCAACCATGCTCTTGTCTGCGGCAGAGCTGAAGAAGGAGTTCCATGCGTAGGACTGCAGAGATTTTCCGAGTGAAGCTTGCAAACGAAGATGCAAAGCCAAGGGCGCATATGGAAGGAGGACTTGACTGGGCTTGGGCGCATCGGAAAGAGTGACAATCCGACATCAGCTCGGAAATGCCGCGTTCTCCTAAGCTCTCCCCGAACCTTCAGACCTGTCATAGCCGGTCCTGCAGGAGTCAGATGGTCTCATCACACGGATGGAACTGCGAGGCTTGGTGCCGGGCACCTCCTACACAGTGCAGGTGCCTCGCTTCAAAAGTGGAGGAGGGAGGCGTTTCTGCTTCGACGGCTGTTCCGACAGCAAACACGGTGGAGAGTGCGTAAAAAAACACGCATGCTGAGTCGGCAAAGGATGGTCTCTGCATGCCCGCTGAGCTGATTAGGGAAGAAGTCCGTGAAGCCCATGTTTCTCACAGATGATTGTTCATGGCTGCGACCCCCAAGTGAACAACCAGTTCGCGGCCAAGCATTGCTGATCTCGGGATTTGTGCTTGCATCTCCAAGCCACGACGTGCTGTCTGGCAGCTTGCTACCGGTCGCCAAGTATCCGTCTGGTGCACCAGCCCCAGAGAGCCGGGAGCACTTCGCTTGAACTGAGGTGTCTGCGCTCACATCACGAGGGGAGGGAGAACGGAGTGAGTCCGTGACGCCCCTTTGATGCCGTCAGCATGCTGAGTTCAATCAGCCATCAGCTCTTGGAGTTTTTTTTTCGAAGTTGGCAGGTTAGCCTTAGACGTCAGGCTCTACTCGTGTCTGCTGGTCGGACCGTTTTACCGGCCAAGGTTGAAGACACGGCCGGTGGCACCAACAATGGGGGAGACTTTGAAGCACTGTGGAACGGAAATGTCGAGCAGCATGCGTTTCCACATCATGGGATGGCGCTGGTGAAGGTCGTAGCAGGAAGTGCGGTAGTACTTTCGTGATTACAATCCAATGTGCCTCGGTAGTCCTTTGAATCTGACAGCGTCCTTGAGCGTGTCGGGTATGCGGAACTGCAACTTCCAAGTCTCACTGTCGAGACTTGCAGTGTCCATCCTTCACACTCGCAGCTCTTTTCTATCTTGTTACCCACATCCTCACTTTGCTACTGGAACTCCCGAAAGGGATGTGTGCCAATGTCGTTTTCCTACCGAGGCTATCCGAGCTCGTGTGGTCCACGCATATCATGACCACCTGATTCTAGAGTGCGCTGGCCGGGGCCTCGTTACCTACTCTTCTGATACAGTCATGCAGCCGGCTGCAGAAACTGTCTGCATTCAGTACAGAAGCCCTTTCTGACCTGAGAGGATCTTCATGATGCTTGCGGTTCCACTAAATGCACCATGTACCCAGGTGCTGTGCCTGATTGGTCGCGGGGCGAAGCCAGCGACGTGAAGGGGTACAGCGCCAGGTACTACGAGTGTGCTTGGTTTCAATAATAGGTATGATCACATGGTTCATGGTTCATGCAACAGGGACAGAGCGCATCAGCGAGAGCGGAAGAGTCTTTCGGAAGCTTCGCCTGCGATTCGACGCTGGGCACCAAGAGACTCATACCACTCTGGAGGCAACGGGCTCGAAATTGCTGGAAAAGCTACAAAAAGAACCAGCGAGTGTGGATCCTTAGTGCCATCTAGCATCCTTGGAGACCGTGGAGTGTCGGGTTTACGACCGGCTGCTCAGCTCCCCTTCATCCCCCCTGAAGTAAGCTTTACGAGGTATCGGGTGTGCAGCATGCTCAGGACGGGCTTGAACTTGGCAGGTATGTCAAGAGCTGCGCAAGAAGAGACGGATAGATGCAGAGCCCGTCTTGTCCGCATGCCAAGAAAGGTGCCCGCAGCTATGGGGCCTACAACGGCGCATGGGTCTATGTCGTTCTTGCCTCAGGGCACCTCACTAGTCACAGACCATGACAGGGCAGGCGGTGGCAGAAGGTCTCATGCAATGCAGCCTCCTAGAGGCTACAGCAACTGGTGTGGAATCAGTGAGCAGCCATGAGAGCTACCCTGAGCCACCGGCTGAAATCTGCCTTCAGGAACTTGTGGAGCTGCTTGAGGACGACTTCGAGTGATCTGTAGCTGGCGCAGAGAGTGCTGGGTGGACAGCATCTCCGCGGAGAGCCTTTGCCGTTCCGTGAACCCCGAAATTGCCAGGAGTGCGCGAGCACAGAGCTGCTTCGTTTCGCATTGAGAGGCCTGTCGCCAGAGCGTCAGCAGCTTGATCGACCAAAATGCTGGCTCCAGGTCTCTTTTTGCAGGGTCTGTCGCGGTGGTTTCTTTCATTGGTGTGAAGAAGCGGGGCAGGACAACATTGAGTTCTGAAAGCTCCTGGTCGAGTCATGGTTGTTCGACTCTCTCAAACCCCAACGACATTTCTCTCGGACCCGAAGCAACCTCGGAAGCAGCTTGCCCGCTCTACGATGGCCCTGCCCATCAGACAAACGAAAGCACGTGAACTAGCAAGGTGGAGGGCCATATGATGCAGTCCAAACCTAGGCAAGCCAAACACGCATGTGTGTGTGTGTTTACATACGTATATATACACACATAACAATATATGCGCACACAGCTAATACATGTGTATAAACAGATTTACATGTAAACACATGTATTATACATAATAGATACACACACACACACGCATGTCTATACTATGTATGTATACATGGGCCTGTATATATATATATATATATACACACACACACACACACACACGCCATCTATGAATACATACATGCATACAGACATACATGATAGGACCAACCACAAGAATCCCAGGTATGTCGTTGAAGTGGCCGCCTTGACGGCTGCGGGAAGGGGGCCCTGGTCCGAGTCGCCCTTTTGGCGCATTTTTTTGGGGGCTTTTGGGGGTTCGGTGGGACATGCGCCAGTCAGTGTTGTTGAGGAGTTCGGGGAAGTTGGCATGGTTAGGATTTACAATGGTTCCTAAGGTAAGAAACATGGTTAGGATTTAGAATGCTTGCTGTTTGTTCTGGTTGTCAGGCTTGGAGCTTTGCCTGTAAGGCCGCACAGGTCCCGTGGGTTTGGGGTTTGCATGCTCTCTTAGCATTCAGATCGTAGCCCTCAGCCTCGAAGATGCCAGGAGCGAAAAGCTCGCGACCTGGCGGGTGGCACCGCGCTTAGCACCGCCTCAGGCGCTGCTGCGGACGCACGACACGTGCCTGGGCTCAGATGTTCGCTGCCTTGTTATTTTTGTGGTTTGGCACTTCCGCTCTTTCATCAACGTCGCACAGAAAACAAGACAACAGCAATCATGCAGTAATCGTGTCAGAAATTCTGAAACCGCTGACGGCTTCCCCGGGCTGGATGCATGGTCCAAGCGCTGGACTTGAGGTCTTGAGAGTTCTTGAGAGTAATTATAGCAACAGCCGATGTTGAATCTAAGTCAGCTGGCTGTAGGCTGGCTCCGAGCCACCCCAAAGGCACCACTTTATCAGGTGAACCACGTCAAAGCTGTCTTTGTCTTCCGATAGAATTCTGTTCTTTGCGTCTTCGTGCAGAAGCGGAGTTTGTGTGCTTCTCAGTATCCCACCAGGTTGGTGCTTGGATGGGATCGCGAGGTCGGGCCCTCAAGGGACGCGTGACTGTGGTGTAGTTTACAGAAAGACTACGAAACAATTTCGACGAAGTAAGCCGAATCGATGACGAGAAGCCGCTTGATGACCAGATGACCAGAAGGGCCATGTCGCTGCAGGAGCCGGACCCCGAGACCCTCAGCGGCGAGGTTCACGACGAGGACATCACGGAATTCCTGGTCAAGGCCAGGAAAAATCATGGCTCCATCTGGTACCCTCTACAATCTTTGCGTCCGGGATGATGTTCTTTGGGTTCAGGGTTGACAGCCTAGCTTCGGACAAGGAGACGAACAGAGGTATGTTCTGCTAGGCCGACGATTGCTGCAGCAGCTTCAAGTTCTTGTCACCCACCAGCGGCGCAGGGTGATGGTTTTGCATAATCATGAGCTCCGAAAGCCCTCAACCACGAAGCAACTCACCTGCCCGGGGGTGCTTGGCATCAGGTCGCACCTGCCTTCGGCAATCGCACAGCGCAGGCCAGGGAGTGCAGTTGATACAACCAGAGCTAGCTCCGTGCCTTGACGTAGGTTCTCAGACCTGGCCATTGGCCGGTGTTCAGAATTGATACAAGTTGCGGCTATGCGAAGAAGAGCTAGATCGAGAACACGCAGTGCCAGGTGCAGTATAGGTCAGGCACATGGCCATTCTGTGTGTGCAGAACAGACTCCCATGCGCCTTTCATTGAATGTCATTCGTCACAACCCCGGATAGTTGTTGGTTTCCCATCGCCGGATGATGCGTCACAGCCATGGGCCTGCACCAGGCGCGGACGCATCGTGTCCAGCTGCAGAAGGCCATCGGAGCGCAGCCCTCCCCCCCACACAAGCTGTGCTGACATACACACCTTCGTCACAGTCCTGTGTACTTTGCTGACATGAGGTTTAATTACCATATCTTAGGGGCACGGTCATTGCGCGGCATGTTTGCTTTGAACCTACTCGTCCTGAGCTTGGAATATCTAGCAGCCCTTATTCTCACAACAGCTTGCAGCAGTGAAGCTGCCCACCAGTTAGCAGATTGGAGTCGCAACCAGGCTTGCAGCTTTGCGGAGACCTGGGCCGCAGTGAAAGGCGGGACAGCCTAGACTCCTAGACATGTCTTCTATTGTTAACTACTATTAGTTATCATTAAGTGTTTATTTATCGTATTAATTATTATTTGATAGACCATCTGTACTGAGGTGCGGGAGTGCATGTCACCATGTTGAGCAGATGTAGCGTACAGCCTCCAGCGCCAGTGAATCTACATGATACCATGAGCCATGCATCGTGTTGGCGTGTTCAGCTGGTACTTCGCTTTCGATTTCTGCGATGTCGATTTCGGAAGTTCGGGCAGTAGCAAAGTCGCTGAAAAGCCGTACCCGGTAACCCCCCTGGTCAGATGAGAACTCGTCCTTCTCGGCCACGCCCTTCTTCTTCTGCGAAGGCACTCGGCTGTAGTTGACTCGAAGGCTTCAGGCAAAGAGGGTGCTCTGCCCTACAGAGCAGAGCTCTCTTCGTTTTTGGGCCCTTTTTTTGCGGATCTTTGGGGGGGGGGGGTCGGCTCCAAAAAAAGACGGAGCCCTGGGTTTCGATTCCTCAAAGAGCCGAGCCCTCCGCAAGGCGCAGCCGGCCGATATCAATTTGTTTCTGTGGTGCCTGGCCTTCTCCCAGCAGCTCAGAGCAACTTATTCCTGGTTGAAGTTCCAGTGTTTTTGTTGGCAGATGCTCCTGCAGCTTGCAGGGAGATGAAGGTAATGTAGATAATGTAACATAAATAATGTAGACCTGCTGTCTCGCAGTCTGGGGCTGTGGGGAAGGTGAGCCCGTGTCAGGCCTTTCAGTGCATTGACATGTCACTAACTTTCAGCGGTTTGGCCGCTGGCCGTTGCAATCTCGACAGTGCTTCCATTGCGACTGCGGTCTGTTTTGGAGTCCGGCTTTGAACATGCTGAGGCTGCGATTCTGCTGATAACGCGATCCATGCAAAATCCATGCACAACAACTTTTGCAAAGGGGATAGCGTGACGACTATACTCGTATACTATACTCATGCACACGAAAAACGCCAAACCTGCTGCGAGTGACGTGTGAGCCGGAGTCTTCCTCGGTAAAGATGGTAAAGTCGTGCCCATATCAAGTGTAGGGTTTTGGGGTTTAGGGTTTAGGGGTTTAGGGTTTAGGCAAAAATGTCTGACAGACATTAAAGTAATACACGACCGGTTTCGCAAGGCACGGGCGAGAGATCACAAAGAGCTGACATAAGGATGCACCATCAAACTTCCGTTAGTGTGGGTAGGATGGCCTATGAGGCATCCGACTCGACAGCACCTATGTAGTTGGTTGATGTCTGGCACCCACCCGTAAACCATGAGACAACTGCAAGTGCCTTGTTGGGAAGAACAAGTGACACAAAGTGACGACGAGTCTGACGCAGCGACGCAATTTGTGCGGAGCACCAAAGACACCAGATGTGACAAAACACTTACTCGTATCGTTTAATCACGTCGCAGATGGACATGGCGACAAGATTGGACGTACTCTCTGGCTGTGTGCAATGTAATACAACGTCATGGTCTCCAGGCACCATCAAGCCGACAAAGAGGTACCAACGGGAAGCAAAGAACCAATGCTGCACGTACAAAAGCCTCTGCTCGAGGATCAGCGCTACTGTTGCCAGGCGGGTGAATTGAGTGGGATTTGCCCGCGAATGTCGGGGTCTGGATTTTTTGCCATCTTGGATGCCTAGACTCGACCTGGCTTGAAAGCAGTTGAGCAAGGCAGGCTAGCTCAGAACATCTGCTCAATCCCTCAGCAGCGACAGGGAAGATGGCTTGCATCACCAAGCAAGGGTTTATGTCCTAAGCCCGAACCCTGGGAGGTGGCACAACTACAAAAAAATTCTCTAAATCTACCCAGAGCCTGGAAGGTGGCTTCGAGAGCAGCCAGCGGAGAGGGAGACTGGTCGCATACCTCGGTCGAGGCTCCGTTGCTGCAGAAGCACTTCCCTGAAAAAAAAAGCCAAAGCAAAGCTAAAACAAGCCTGAACAGCTCGAGCACTGGGTTTTCAGTTTTTGCACCCACAGAAAGTGTCTCGCAGTGGCTTCTTACATTGGGTGTGGGCATTTAGGTTTCACTTAGTTACGCAGTCGGTATTTGCCTCTTGCTTTCTTTCGGGCCTTTAGAACAGGTCAGAGGCTTCTAGCAGATCAGGATGGCGGCTGCAATGCACGATATTCTCCGTTTCCTTTGGCTGATCAGGTCATGATGTTGCCGGTGGCCCCACTGGTGGACCTCGCGCAGGTGGATGAGGTGGCTATGCTTACCTCGCTCTGAGAGAGACGAGATCTAACTTCACGCTTTTTGAGGTTTGCTTCTGGCTGTTACGTAGGGTCGACTGCGCTTGTGCACTAATTCAACCTCCAAAGAAATAGATAAACAAGGCTCACAGTACTTCTGTCGAGCTTCCACATGAACCAAGTCCATCCAGGTTCCTTAGATGCCGTAGCCTGCGCGAATGGCCGATGAGTCTCGAAGTCCCCGAAGTCACATCGTTCAGGTGCAGCACGATCAGATCCAGATCTCATGGGAGCACGTCCAGTTGAAGACTGGCAGCGGAGCTGGTAAAAAGCTGCATTCAAGGCTTCGGCTTCATGGAGCTCTCTTCGGCTTGATACAAATCTCGTGAGTTCGGACAACTTGCGTGCGTAGAAGTGTGAGGCGAGTCGGGGATTGAGCGTTACTATAGTGGCAAGGGCTGGGAGCTGCTGCAAGGCACACTCGCACCAGTCGCGCGAGTCATCACCACCCCAGGCTTCAAATCTTAGACCATCCCCGGCACCAGAACTCCCGGTACTATCATGTCCATGTCATTCCACCCCGAACTCAACAAGCATACATGCGACACACAAGCGAGCAAAGCTCGAGTCTTGCTGCGATCCAAGGTATCGCTGCAGGCCTTTGTGACCGCCTCTGCCTCACCAAGTCCCTCGAGGAGAGAGAAACCTCGGATTGTGCACAGGCGTTCAAACCTTGCTTAAAGGCAGCGGTTGCGGTTCCAAGCTGTGGAAACGGTGTTCAGACTTGTGGCTTGGATGGATTCGGTTTGGGTTCGCCGAGCGCTTCGTTACTCAGCGCTGTGCGGCTGAATTAGGGAAGATGCAGGTGAGGTGTTCAGGATTCAACATCACCATCAGTCCTGTCAACTCGGAGGTACAATGCAACTGCACTGCTAGCATTGCATGGTTGTCGTGGTTGGTTTCACGGAGCGCTGCGCATGTCGTGATTCTAGCAACATCCTCCCCATCAACCTGGTGGCAGCAGTTCGAGCCTTATAGTTGGCATGTCGACGACTTGCTGAGCAATGCCTTTCCTGAAGGCTGCTTTTGCTGCATTGAGCAATGCAACCTCCCCTTGGCTCCCAGGACCTGCATGTTTGCGCCTATGCCGTGAGGGCAGCTGCATGGACTACCTGGCGGGGCCCGCAGTGGCGCAAACCCGAGACGGTGGAGGCTTCGACAGCATTGCGCACCCATGAACGATGCTGCGCTCGGCCTACTGTGCAGTTCTGTGGACTGGCATTGTGATTCAAAATCCGCATCGACAAGAACCGACATGAGCCTGTTTCTGTTGGCGCCAGGTGGAGACGCTTCCAGTTGCGGAAGGCGGACGCTTGCAATTTGCGATCAAGGACCTGGAGCCAGAGAAGCTCTATGTCGCGGGACAGAGAACAGTCTGGGTGAATCCCAAAGTGTAGCCTGAATGGAGGCTTCTTGAGATTCTGAGAACTCCTTGCAAAAACATCTTGGCTTATTGCGTTGGGCTCGAGAATCCTCAAGAGGGCACATCAGCACAGCAGAGTGCCGGCCCTCTCAGAGCCTCTCAGGTCGTCGAAATCCGAGCCCAGGGCGCCAGCGGCTGGGGCGAATGGTCCCGAGTCGGGGAAAATCCCGTTTGCACCGCCGTGGTCGCACAGGCTGGCAGCTGTGCCGCGTCCTGTTTCTGGTGCCAACGGGTGCATGCCATGCTTCCGACAGCAAGAACTGCATATACCCCAAAAGCGCATGGTTCATTGCACTAGGAGCTGAAGCAGTTCTACAGGCTCGTGAGACTGGCCCCCAGAACCCTGAAACCTGTGAGGACTGAATAAGAGATGTGCCCGAATATATCTTCCCAGGAGCCCACAGCGCCCGAGTTAGTCTACGCCACGTCGCGAGCGCTGACCTTTGCTTTCCCGGGTGTGGAGGAGCCAGGGGCTCTGTCTCCAGCAAGAAAAAATCCCACAAATCACTTCTGTGAAATACCATACCAAAACAACGTGGTGCACTGATCATCACTGATACCGTTCGTACGAGAAGCTGCGGTAGCGCGCTGCTGCCCCACTCGCCGCGCCCGGAGGACAGTCGAATCATTGCGTACGAGGTCCGCCGGCATGAAGGCCGGGCGAGGTCGTGGAAGACTATCAACGAGATCCTGGCAGGAATCATGCAACTGGCCCTTGAAGCCTTCAAGGGTCAATGTCATCAGAATCAGAACCCCGGCTAGTGACTTCTCAAAAAACGACTCTCCTATGCTCTTCTTAGTTTGCTTCCTGGTTTCAGGCTGGCGAGGTCGGCCGACGAGGCCCTTGCGCTTTGACTCCCAGTCACTGGCCGTGCGCGTGACCTCGGAGAACCGATGGGCACGGGTTCCCGGAGTGGCATCCAGCTTCGAGCGAGTTGGGGAGTAGATTGCAATTTAGACTATACTGGTCCGATGGGCTCTTGATTCTGCAGTTCGAGGGTCTGAATTGAAGGAAGGATGCAGGCTTCGACGATCCGTGGATTCATGATCGTGACCTTTCCTGGACTGGATGTCTTACTGCATGAAATCAATGGTTTTCGGCGTTGCAGCAGGGTTTGATCGTCTGCAGACCGTGTTTGATTTCCCGGATGCCACATGCTGACATGACAAGGTCGTGACAGTGGACCAGCTACAGAGAGGCACGACCTACACGCTTCAGACGAGGCAGCCGCGTGGGAGTCAATGAAACCGAGACACTGACATGACATGTCTGTCACACTCATGCATACATGCAGCTTAATCAGGTTATGAAATAATGAAGATTTTGCAGCTGGCTTGTTGGCAGCTAGGCAGTTGGCCTGGCATAAAGTTAAGTGTTTGCTGGTCAGCAGCTGCGAGTTTACTTTCAAGATGCATCACGCCATTGCAGGGGGATCACGGCTGGTGGCGGAGTCTCCTCGCTTGCACGTGGCAATTTTTCCCGGTGACACGGGCTATTTCTGCGCACATGGTTGGTTTGTCTGTGTCCCCTGCATCTGGGAAGTTCAGGTCACAAAGTGGTCCGAAAAGTCTGAGCCAATGGCCACCCTTGCCGACGAAGACACCGGCCATGAGGCACAGTGCAGTTCTGTTCTGACTGCACGTGGGGTAAAAGACTGCCCTGACTACCAGTAGTATCTGTGGCAAAAGATTGCCAAGGTTTGCTAGAAACCGACCCATCTGCTGCTCCCTTTCAGTCCTGTCCCTCTCCAAAGTCAGGTGGAGGTGAGCGTTGGCGTTAACGATGACACCCCCGGCATGGGCCCGCTACAGCTGGCCACCGCGGCTCGGATATGATGTAAAATCATAGTCAAAAAAGCAGCAAGGCAGAAGGTTTGGCGACCACGGTTTGTGGCAGTGGGTTTGTGATTCATGCATACAGCAGGTGCACAGAGTCATGCTCGTTCAGATTTGTTGCCCGACATGAATTCGATTGACAGCATCGCCACGTGGCTGGATTTGAACCAGCAGACTTTCTCCGTGTTGGATATCCCAGGCCATGCCAGTAGCCGACGTCAACTCCGCAGAGTCCATGGAGGCTGGGGGCTGCCCTGAAGCAATGTTGAAGCTGGCACGTCGACAGAACGGCCATTGCGGCAGAGTTGAGTCCTTGGAACTCAACCCACAAGCCCTGTTTCGATAGTCTCGCCGGTTCTATACTCCTTTGTCTAGCATGTTCCATATTCACTGACCTTCACACGGCACTTCGCCACAAAGTCTTTGGAGCCGCGAGCCCGAGCCGCAGATCTCCGAACCTAATCGCCATGAAGGATGTATATCTATCTACATATAATATAAGTAGTATAGTATAGTATAATATAATTTTATATATTATCGTATAATCATTTCAGCATCCCGAGCACCATGCTCAGCATCACTGCTCCTAGCTCCTGGCCGTTCTTCCAACGGAGAGCGGTCATGAGAGGACTTCTCCAAGAAGTTGGAGTCCGTCCTCGCCTTCACAATAGATCAGGCCGGGTGCTATGTCCTGAGGAAGACACTACTTACACCCCAGACCCTTACGCCTCTGCATGTACGGAGGCGGGACGCCAGAAGTCCAAGCTCTTCACGTCGGGGTTGAATGGAAGTGATTCAGGATGTAGCTCTTATGACTCTTTCGCAAGTTTAGTGCCAGTGCACGGCCTACCTAAGCAGAGCAGGCCACCGCTGGGGTGCGCCTGCCTTCGGTGCGAATTCCCTCCGTGGCAGAGACTTGATTGCATTCAATTAGCACATGCCGGTCTGCCCGCTGCAGGCCTCGTGCTTGCCATTCAAACCGGATTAACGAATCACGAGTGGAACTGTTAAGGTCCTCGAGCTAGTGTCCATGGTGAGAGAAGTCTGAACGGACTGGCTTTCAGCATGCGCCTACGAAAGGAAAGGGTTTAGGCCGTCCAAGGAACAGGCCGAGGAGCTGCTGCATGCCCACCATGGCGACTGTCGCGCTGGCGATCTTAAGCCACCCAGTCACTTCTCCACATCCAAGGAAACAAGTGCTCAAGTGACCTTGACAGGACCGGCTGAGTATCGGTGTGAGACGTCTTATCGAAGCTTCCACTAGAGCTTTCCAAAATGCGCCAAGCAGCCTAATGTACAATGGCTCAGCCAGGCCGTGCCGCTGTGTTGGAGGCTGCGAAGATCGAGGACGACGACACCTGGCGGACCAAGCTGCCGGATTTCCTCATCCAGCAGGCATGGGCAGCTAGCTGGTTCCTTCAGCAAGCGGGTTGGAGTGGTGGTCCAGGTATCCAGATCTGCGTGTGCGTCGCGCATGTCCACCCATGCAGAATCATACACAGACTTGTGAAACAAAGCTAACGATTTAGACTGCCTGTCTGCAGGTGCCCGTCGTCGGCTGTTCCACGGTGCTGCTTCGAGAGTTCCTCGAATTGAGTTGGCCATGCAGTGCGGCCGGCAGGAGCAAACTGGGCACATAGCATACCGATGCTCGTAATAATCACGAAGTGCAACAACACAGAAAAAATTAACCAGGATAGCAGTCAGAGGAACACAAAATGCGGTGATGAAGTCGACGCCCGAGGCTTTGGAGAAGCATCCGGCGCTGTGCGTTGGTGGCGCACCTTTATGGCGGCTCGTCTGGCAACGTGCACGAAGCTTGGAGCCTTCACTGCTTGCAGCATGCAGGTCACGATACTCGCAGCCCCGAGACGTAACCCGGCAGCACGGTTGCGGCACATGAATTTTGGATGGCTCTATAAGACTCTAAGGCCCAAGGCCGTCCTGGAGCCAGAGTCCTTCGGATATTTAGCATTTCTGCACTGTGGCAGCTCACTTCTCTTCAGCACAAGTTCGCTTCACACTCGTCCGGACATGCAGCCTGAATCTGTCGCCGATGTCTGTGGTAGGTGAGACTCAAGACAGGAGCGAACCTTCACAGGTGAGGAGGAAGGCTTAGCAAAAACGAGCCGTTGTCCCTTTCAGTCGTGGGCCACATGTATTGATCACAAGAGAAGCCCAGGGAACTCCTCAGATGCACCGTGGGCCAGGCAGGCCTTGATCCTCACGTGCCTCGTTCCGGGGGGCTCTGGAACCCCGGCTGCACCGGCTGCGCCTTGTCACAATCGGAGGCTAGAATCGGAGCTTGGGACATAGGCAGGGCAACCTCCCAGGACATCCCGGCTGTCAGCGCGTCTCAGTCGAGAAAGCAAGTCCAGACCAAGGCAGATGACTTTGAACAGCTCTCGAGAACGCTACCACGTCGTGATCGTTATCTGTGAGCCTGTCATGTCCCCAACACAAGGCGCACCCTTGGCCAAATGCAAAAGCAGTAGGAACATCGTCCAAAGCCTCTGGGATGTTGACTAAGGTGCCTGCAGCTGGAACCGGGTCTGCGAGTTCGCAGCAAGGCATTTGGCCAGCGTTGTCAACAGATCGCCATGCGCGGCTTGCAGCACTCTGTCATACCGTCGTTGAGCACAACATCAACATGAAGTTCAGCGAGGGTCTGCCTACGTCGCGAATGTCTATGACGTGTCGAGCTTTCGTCGATGTATTCAACACATGAAAGGGGATGGGCATGCCTACCGTGTCCGAGCGTCCTGTTGCGGAAGATTTTCGCAGCCATCAATGGAGTAGGCTGTCTAAATTCCGTGTAATGCCTCTAGGAAGTCGCCGATTCCACCACCGTGATTAAGTGATTAAGCTTGAAAACGCAACTACTCAAAAAGTTGCGACGAAAGACAATCTGAAGATCATGCATATCTCGCTCAGACAAGGACGGAAACAACTAGTCTTGTCTAAGGACTCTGAGACCCATAACTCGAAGCTACTGTTTCGATCGAAACACATGACACTATGGCACGAACCCCAAAAACCGCACACACATCCCGAACCAAGCACAGAAGTAGTTTTCGTCATCCTAAACGGAGCCATCTCGCGAGCTTTCAAAAGCATCCAGCGCAGGCTACGTGGTGAAGGACCAGAGCGCCGTGCTAAACCCCGGCGTGCTGGGTGCCGAGGCCACTGAAGTCCGGTTGCAGACTCGTGGTCTTATCTCTGGCTGCGGTAGCTTTAACTTTTCGTGCAGATTTCCCAGAATTTCGGAAGATGCACAGCACCCCTGCAGCCAGGATGTCGTATCTTCCCGGCGTGTGGCGCTGCTCGTGTCCCGGGCCTTGGCCAAGGACTCGTAGTCTTCTCGTGTGCACCTCCCTCTCCAGGTCCTTCTGATTCTGGGCTCATTGTAGTTGTAGCATTGATCTTGGACTCTCGGTGCTCAGAGGCTTGCCAAGGACCTTTTCTGCAAGTCACACTGTCGTGGGAATCAAGGCCGTAGTAACGGCAATGGATGTCTTCAACTTGTCTATCGCCAGCTCTCGAACTGTTGGCGTCGAAGCTCAAAGCGCTGCGTCTGGCAGATATCCCTCTGTTCAGGAAACCTTCGTACGCGCTACAGGGCTGAAAAGCGCGGGGCAGGCAGGACATTAAGCCGCCACCACATGCCTGGTGATCATAGTATAGCCGGAGCATATAACCATAACAGAAACACTTGGAACCTCTAGGCAACTGAACCCCGACCCTACGTACCCTGACGTGGTTTGCAGGTCGTCGGCCTCTTGGAAGTAGCCGGCAGGCTGCTGAAGAACAGCTCCAAGGCCAGGAGAGTTTGCTGAACTCGGGGCGTTGTTTTTTAATTTTCAATTTAGGGTTTAGGGTTCAGGGCTTAGGGTTTAGGGTTTGGTACAAGGTCAGTATAGACTCTTTTAGGGGGTTGATTGAAGGTGCTAATTCCAGAATAGAAATGTGGCCTTCGGTATTCCATGGGAGAACCAATGGGGATCATTTTTCGCGACCGCGTGCGCAGGACGCGGCCTCCGAGGGCAGCGCCCTGACCGAGCAGCTGGCAGGCGCCAGGGGTGGCATCTTTAAGTCTATCTATCTATCTATCTATCTATATATATATATATATGTTTGTATGGCTAAAAGATTGGGGCTTCCCTATTATATGGCTTGATTTTAGCGACCATCTTTAAGGATCTAAATAAAAAGAGTTTCGTTATTAGGATGAGCTTCAGCGGTTCGTCTTTTGGGAGCTGGGGCTTCGTTTAAGCTTTCAGGCTCTATAGGAAGTGCATGATGCGTGGCTGGGCTAGCATGGCTAGCTGGAGATGGGGGCATGGAGAAAGGTGGTTGGACAAGGAGCCCAGACTCCGAGAGCACCTCTATTTTTTGTGGCCATGTTGTCTGCAAAGCAAGCAGCTGGCGGTCTGAGATGTTACTCTGCTGTCCAGGCTGTTGTGCAATGTGCCTTCCACTCCTCGTTCTGCTGCTTCATCTTTTCCACTGAACCCGAACAACGACAAGCTTTCCGCATTGGCAGATGACGCCTTGGTGGCTGAAGCTGCGACGCCTGTGAAGGTGGCGCTGGCCGGGACCTCACATTCGCGTTGCTTTGATGATGCCTGGTCCACTCGGACTTTCATGGAAAATCTGCGGCAAGCCGATGTATTCTTCCATGCTTAGAGAGCTCAACATCTTGCTTGGAGAAAAAGGCTGAAATCGAGCTCAATCCATCAAGCCGAGTTTATGAAGTCGAACAGATCAGACGGGCATGCTAGGCCCCAGGCGCAGTTACGGGTTCATCGGGATGTGTTGCCCCACAGCCTGCACGGGAAAGGCAACGAATGCCTCAGTACAGGCATGAAAGCAGTGGGCCGATTCTGATGTCCTCAGCATTGCAATCCTTCCCGTTTCAGGTCGTCTTCAGGCCAATGGCTTTGGAGGAGAGGCCCATTGTGGTCGGCGGACTGCTGGCTCTCTGGCCGGGCGCCTGGGAGTCTCCGGGCCCGCGCCCGCCAGTTGGAACATGGGTTTAGGGTGTAGGCCCAGTGTAGGCTTTGGGGTTTAATGACCCTGCTCAGCTTTTTTGCAGCTTCAAGGGGGTTTCAGGACAAGTGCCATGGTGCTTCGCGAGCCGAGGCTGCTTCCCATATTTATGTCTGCTGCACGCTTCGTCTTCGCCAAGGCCAGAGAATCGGAACTGTCCTCGCGAAGGAAGGTTAAATATGTTACCGGAAATAGAAGGGAGGTCTATTGTTGCTGCTGCTTCTTCCACTAACTACCACTACCCCTACCACTACCACTACCACCAACCACTGCCGGCACGGGCCTACTAGCCTCCCCCCCCTACCAACTACACTTGCTCCATCCGGGCTGCGCAGTGGCAGCTTCTAGGCTCCCTAACTGCGACAGCTGCAACAGATGCAGGGGCTCAGGCTCCCTATCTGTGACAACTGCAAACGTTGCAGAGGCTCACTTCCTTAACTGTCACAGCCCGACAGCAGCTGGAGTTGCAAACTCGACGGGGAAGAAACTGCTAAACAATTGGTGGTCGGATAGTACGAAAACGCTGTACACTGTAAACACTGTTCAAAACGCAGGTGCTGCCAAGAAGGTTTTCACAATCCTCAAAACTGAAGCGCAACATCTTATGAACCTCAAAAACGCAGATGCCAGCTGTACGTGGGAGGGGCTCGCCAACACCCTCAAAGATCTTAAAGCCCAGACCTCGGCGTAGGGTTTGCTTTTCAAGTGGTGCGTGGTGTGTGCGCGCTAGGGTGTGGAGATATTGTTCGGGGTATCCGCGAAACAGTGTCGTGATCATCTCCGAAAAAAGCTTTCCCCCGCCCAATTTCGAGTTTTCGCCGAAAGAACTCCGGTCGAGTTCGCAAAGTCCAGAGGTAGGTTTGGTGAGTATATAGATGGTCCGACATCACGAAAGTATTGTAAATACCAAGCAAAACGGCTCTTCTGGAGATTTTGTTCGGGGCGTCTGCGTAACAGATTCGTCATCATCCCTCCCTCCCGCTGCCGCCGCTGCTGCTGCTGCTACTGCTACTACTACTGCTACTACTACTGCTGCTATTCCTTAATTGGAGTTATTCATCATAAGTAGCTAAGTAGTTGTATTTATACTTTAAATAAACATATGCACGCAT